CCACCTGGACATCCGACTTCCCAGCATAACCGGCACCCTGCAGCTCAAGTCTGATGAGGACGAAGAGGAAGAGGTGATTTGTCCCTTTGAATTCAAAGTGGTGCCTGGTCCCAGCATCCCTTCTACCCCCTTGCTGGGGGTGCCCCGCCCCACCTTTGATGACCCTGGTAAGTACACCACTTCACCTTGGATTGTTAAATTGAAAATATGATAAAGCACAATTTGGATTAAAAAAAAAGATATCTTGGCACCTGCAGCTCCAGAACACATTTTGGCTTGCATTAGATGTACTAAACAGGACCTTTGGGAGAGGCCGCTACTTATCATAAAACATCTTGAGGAGCATGGACTCATGGAATTTGTGTAATCTTTACACAAGGGGATAAGAAATAACAACACAATTTGGCTTATAGATTATAGATACAAGAAAATAAGACCTAATCCAAATAATTGAATAGTGTGTTGTTTGTATGTATACAAACTTCTATTAAATTATTTAGAATAGGTCTTATTTTCTTGTATAAAAATAGAAGATATGTTGTTGTTTCTTATCCCCTTGTACAAAGATTACATTAATTCCATGAGTTCATGCTACTCGATCTGTTTGATGATAAGCAGCAGCCTCTCCCAAAAATCATGTTTAGTGCATCTAATGCAAGCCAAAATATGTTCTGAAGCTGAAGGTACCAAGCTACATTTTGGGCAAGTGAAGTAGATTTTGTTGTCTTTTTTTTTTCTTCAATTGCTTGAGATGGCCCATTCTAAATATTCACTTATAATGAAATGTTCAAACAAAACCCTAATTATAAAGAAACATAATAACTGGAGACAAAACTTGATTTACAGGTATAACCCTGAAACTAAACGCTAATTCATGGAGTGGAAAAGAAAAGATGAGCCACGAACAAAGATATCTCGTCTTTACAAGTCAAACACCAATGTTTTTTAAGTGTCATTCTTCGACATAAAAGGGACACTGAATACTTTGAGGAAAGGAAAACAGAAAGTCTATTTAAACATTCTGAGACATCTACGTGAATCAATTCACCTTAAAAGAAAGGAAAAGTGGGATTCTAAAAATTGGTTTCTCCATCACAACAACACTCGGTCACACACTGCTACATCTCTGCTGAGTTTTTTAGCCAAGAATGGCATCCCCAAAATTTTCCCGACCTTCTTATTCTCCAGTCCCAATGACTTTTTCTTATTCCCAAAAATCTAGACAATCATCATTGCAGAATCAAAAAAGGTATTAAAGAGCATTCCAAAAGATCTTATCTCCACACTGGGTGAAGTAAAATATGTCTGTCTTTGTCATTAAGACTGGCAGCACTACTCAGTGGCAGGCCGACTTGGCTCCGAAAAAAAAATGGCCACCTCTGACATGAGGAACAGATGCCATGTACAGCTGCTCCTAACATGGAGTACAGACTCATCCTGTATCCCTGGATTAGGAGCCCTTACAGGGTACTATCAGCCGGGCCAGCTGAACCCAGGTTTTTTTAGTGAGCTTGTTACTGCTCCCCCTCCTCCTTTTTCATCCGGGCTTGGGACCGGCAAAGGCGGAGTTATTCCAAAAGATTACTTATGTAAATGTTTTGATGCATGGGCGAAATGATGGAAGATCTCTCTGTATATAGATGCCGGGGAGGAAGGAGAAGAGTAACAAACCTAGATTTAAAAAAAAAAAAATATATATATATATATATATATTTCATTTTTAGATATTTGTAGGAATTTTGGAATAAAGGATATTTTATCATAGTTTGCAATTTAAAATAAAATTGAAATAAATTTTAAAAAAATGCCTATGCTGCATTTGTTATATTTGCAACTACATATACTGCTCATCTTACTTTTGTATTGCCATTTCATCTTTATCAAATCCTACATGTAATACTAGACAATTTGACAATTCAATATATTTTATTGACACTCTTAATCGATTGTTACAAGAATTAAAGATAAATTAAACAAAGATAAATGTGATTATTTACAATTTGGTGATAAAAATATATAAAAGCTGTTCTCAGGAAGAAAGACTCCTCCATCTTGTCTTCCTCCAGACAAGGACTCTCAGTTCAATGTTGAGATGATACTTATAGAGACATGTCTTGGTAGACGTCAGGATGGTGTCGTCATCCAGGCCTCGCCAGAAGACCCAGCTCTGCAGGTCGGGGTGATGATGGTAAATGCCTCCCAGATGAGAGGACAGCGGCAGTACTGGTGAGCTAACGTCAGGTCGCTGGACCCACTAGAGCATTCAATAAATGACACCCATGGACTCTTCTTAAAAAATCCGCTCTCAGAATATGGAAAGAGATCAAGCATCAAATCCCTAATATAGAGAATAAATAAGCCTGATATCAAAATAATTCAACTACACTTAACATGGACAAAACTTAAGGAAGTTGTACCTGTATTATTAGGATTTAGACAATAACTCTGAAAGATATTTGATATACAGTAATCTTTATTGAAAATACATGAGATAAACAACTGTGAATAAAATTGCCTCTGTTGTTTCCTTCAAAAAGGCTGGTGACATCAGACTTTTCAACTTGGAATAATAAGCTTCATATCAAAATAATTCAAATACACTCAACATAGACAAAACTAAGGGAGTTGTACCTTTTAGCATGTCTATCGGGATTCAGACAATAACTCTGAAAGATATTACAGTAACCTTTATTGAAGACACACGAGATAAACAAGTGTGAACAGCCTCTGTCTTCTTCAAAAAAATAGACGACTGGTGAAATCAGACTTTTCACTTCCCTAACTTTTGTCCATGAGTGTAGAGATGTGACTATGTTTGTGCTGGGGTTGGTTGAATGGTGGTCTAAACTGTTGGTTTTTGACCGCATCGACCCGGGATTGAATCCCGCATTGGGCACTTTTTTCTAATTAAAAAAAATAAAATGCTCCAATGGCCCCCGATTCTTGCAACCCCAACCCCATTCTTGCAAGTCTAACCCCACCAGCGAGTGCAAGTAACTAAATGGGGCTTTGGCAAATTTGTAATTGCAAAGTCGGACTGCTTTTCACATGTGTAGACATGTGGTGCACTTACAGTAAAAGCAGCTGCCAACTTCTACCCACCATGATTATCATGGCCTGTACCACGTGTGCTAGAGATAAGCAAAACTCTGAAATATTTCTGATACACAGTGATCTTTATTGAAGTCACCAAGTGTGACTAAAATTACCTCTGTCTCCTTAAAAAAAAAATAGACAACTGGGCGACAAACACTTTTCACTTCCTTTGTTGTTGTTTCTTATTCCATTGTGTAAAGATTACATGAATTCCATGTGATCTCTTGGAATGGCGTATAGGGCTGCAGCTTTTGTTGATCATGGCCCCATGATCAGAGGCATACTTGTGCTCACTTCCTTTTGTCCATGAGTATGGATGTGACTGTACATAATACATACAGTATTATATATTGTGTATGTAGACATCAACTTTTCTACTACTATAACTATGTTGTAAGATTATAAACTCAAAAGGAGCTTCTTCTACAGAACATGTTTATTTCGCTAGATTTATAACGACATTGTTCTTCAACGGGCGTAAAGACAAGGTGTGATGTGAGATGTGTACAATTATATAGATGTACATTGAGAGCACGTACATTTGTATATATCTTGGCTCTCAAAGTATGTCTATATAATTGTATACATCACACATTCACACCTTGTCTTTACGCCCGTTGAAGAACAATGTCGTTCGAAAGCTAGCGAAATTAAACATGTTTTATAACTCCGCCTTAGCCGGTCCCAAGCCCGGATGAAAAAAGAGGAGAGGGAGCAGTAACAAGCTCACTAAAAAACCTGGGTTCAGCTGGCTCGGCTGATAGTACCCTGTAAAGGCTCCTAATCCAGGGATACAGGATGAGCAGCGTTTATACTCCATGTTAGGAGCGGCTGTACGCATCTGTTCCTCATGTCAGAGGCGGCCATTTCTTTTGGAGCTAAGTTGGCTTTCCACTGAGTAGTGCTCCCAGTCTTTAATGACAAAGGCATTCTACTTCACCCAGTCATGATGGTTGTCAACCAGACACCATCAAGGGTCACAACTTGATACCCTAATATGATTGAGTGGAGATAAGAAAGAAGAAGAACATATTCTATAGAAGAAGCTTCTTTTGAGTTTATAATCTTACAATAGGTATTGAGTATGTTTGTGGTGCAGGTTTTGGCAGCAAAGAGAGACTGGTACTACCCCGTCAATGAACCCTCTCTCTCAGTACTCACTCTGCCTTACTGCATCCACCCCCACTGCAGCCTCCTTTTGTAAAACTCCCTTTATACACCCTTGTTGTGTGTGCAGTTTAGGTTCTCTAGCTTTTTTTATGTCTTTTTATTTTCCCCTATCTTCTTTATTATTTTTTTAAAACCATGTATACATCTCACACACACTTTTTGCAATGTTGATGATATTATTAAAACTGTTTTTTCACTATGAAGCTAAAATTTTATTTTTGTGTGTGTGTCACTTTATTTAAGTCTGGTGATATACAGATATTGTCTTTCTAGAATGGTTGTAAGGTTTTAACACTATGTACTAAGTACAATTATCAACCTGTAATCCAACTACGACAAAGTCGAAAAGGAGGCTAAATCTGTCCACCACCTGTGGACAGGAAGGCAGTGGGACCAATCAGCATCCACCACCTGTGGACAAGGAGGCAGTGGAACCAATCAACATCCACCACCTGTGGACAGGGAGGCAGTGGAACCAATCAACATCCACCACCTGTGGACAGGGAGGCAGTGAACCAATCAGCGTCCACCACCTGTGGACAGGGAGGCAGTGAACCAATCAGCATCCACCACCTGTGGACTGGGAGGCAGTGGAACCAATCAACATCCACCACCTGTGGACAGGGAGGCAGTGGAACCAATCAACATCCACCACCTGTGGACAGGGAGGCAGTGAACCAATCAGCATCCACCACCTGTGGACTGGGAGGCAGTGGAACCAATCAACATCCACCACCTGTGGACAGGGAGGCAGTGGAACCAATCAACATCCACCACCTGTGGACAGGGAGGCAGTGGGACCAATCAGCATCCACCACCTATGACAGGGAGGCAGTGGGACCAATCAGCATCCTCCACCTATGACAGGGAGGCAGTGGGACCAATCAGCATCCACCACCTATGACAGGGAGGCAGTGGGACCAATCAGCATCCACCACCTATGACAGGGAGGCAGTGGGACCAATCAGCATCCACCACCTATGACAGGGAGGCAGTGGGACCAATCAGCATCCACCACCTATTACAGGGAGGCAGTGGACCAATCTACATCCACCACCTGTGGACAGGGAGGCAGTGGGACCAATCAGCATCCACCACCTATGACAGGGAGGCAGTGGGACCAATCAACATCCACCACCTGTAGACAGGGAGGCAGTGGGACCAATCAGCATCCACCACCTGTGGACAGGAAGGCAGTGGACCAATCAGCATCCACCACCTGTGGACAGGGAGGCAGTGGGACCAATCAGCATCCACCACCTGTGGACAGGGAGGCAGTGGGACCAATCAGCATCCACCACCTGTGGACAGGGAGGCAGTGGGACCAATAAGCATCCACCACCTGTAGACAGGAAGGCAGTGGGACCAATCAGCGTCCACCACCTGTGGAAAGGGAGGCAGTGGGACCAATCAGCATCCACCACCTGTGGACAGGAAGGCAGTTGGACCAATCAGCATCCACCACCTGTGGACAGGGAGGCAGTGGGACCAATCAGCATCCACCACCTGGGGACAGGAAGGCAGTGGGACCAATCAGCATCCACCACCTATGACAGGGAGGCAGTGGGACCAATCAGCATCCACCACCTATGACAGGGAGGCAGTGGGACCAATCAGCATCCACCACCTATGACAGGGAGGCAGTGGGACCAATCAGCATCCACCACCTATGACAGGGAGGCAGTGGGACCAATCAACATCCACCACCTGTAGACAGGGAGGCAGTGGGGACCAATCAGCATCCACCACCTGTGGACAGGAAGGCAGTGGACCAATCAGCATCCACCACCTGTGGACAGGGAGGCAGTGGGACCAATCAGCATCCACCACCTGTGGACAGGGAGGCAGTGGGACCAATCAGCATCCACCACCTGTGGACAGGGAGGCAGTGGGACCAATCAGCATCCACCACCTGTAGACAGGAAGGCAGTGGGACCAATCAGCGTCCACCACCTGTGGAAAGGGAGGCAGTGGGACCAATCAGCATCCACCACCTGTGGACAGGAAGGCAGTTGGACCAATCAGCATCCACCACCTGTGGACAGGGAGGCAGTGGGACCAATCAGCATCCACCACCTGTGGACAGGAAGGCAGTGGGACCAATCAGCATCCACCACCTATGACAGGGAGGCAGTGGGACCAATCAGCATCCACCACCTGTGGAAAGGAAGGCAGTTGGACCAATCAGCATCCACCACCTGTGGACAGGGAGGCAGTGGGACCAATCAGCATCCACCACCTGTGGACAGGGAGGCAGTGAGACCAATCAACATCCACCACCTATGACAGGGAGGCAGTGAGACCAATCAACATCCACCACCTATGACAGGGAGGCAGTGGGACCAATCAGCATCCACCACCTGTGGACAGGAAGGCAGTTGGACCAATCAGCATCCACCACCTATGACAGGGAGGCAGTGGGACCAATCAACATCCACCACCTGTGGACAGGGAGGCAGTGAGACCAATCAACATCCACCTCCTATGACAGGGAGGCAGTGAGACCAATCAACATCCACCACCTATAACAGGGAGGCAGTGGGACCAATCAACATCCACCACCTGTAGACAGGGAGGCAGTGGGACCAATCAGCATCCACCACCTGTGGACAGGAAGGCAGTGGACCAATCAGCATCCACCACCTGTGGACAGGGAGGCAGTGGGACCAATCAGCATCCACCACCTGTGGACAGGGAGGCAGTGGGACCAATCAGCATCCACCACCTGTGGACAGGGAGGCAGTGGGACCAATCAGCATCCACCACCTGTAGACAGGAAGGCAGTGGGACCAATCAGCGTCCACCACCTGTGGAAAGGTAGGCAGTGGGACCAATCAGCATCCACCACCTGTGGACAGGAAGGCAGTTGGACCAATCAGCATCCACCACCTGTGGACAGGGAGGCAGTGGGACCAATCAGCATCCACCACCTGTGGACAGGAAGGCAGTGGGACCAATCAGCATCCACCACCTATGACAGGGAGGCAGTGGGACCAATCAGCATCCACCACCTGTGGAAAGGAAGGCAGTTGGACCAATCAGCATCCACCACCTGTGGACAGGGAGGCAGTGGAACCAATCAGCATCCACCACCTGTGGACAGGGAGGCAGTGAGACCAATCAACATCCACCACCTATGACAGGGAGGCAGTGAGACCAATCAACATCCACCACCTATGACAGGGAGGCAGTGGGACCAATCAGCATCCACCACCTGTGGACAGGAAGGCAGTTGGACCAATCAGCATCCACCACCTATGACAGGGAGGCAGTGGGACCAATCAACATCCACCACCTGTGGACAGGGAGGCAGTGAGACCAATCAACATCCACCACCTATGACAGGGAGGCAGTGAGACCAATCAACATCCACCACCTATGACAGGGAGGCAGTGGGACCAATCAACATCCACCACCTGTGGACAGGGAGGCAGTGAGACCAATCAACATCCACCACCTATGACAGGGAGGCAGTGGGACCAATCAACATCCACCACCTGTGGACAGGGAGGCAGTGGGACCAATCAACATCCACCACCTATGACAGGGAGGCAGTGGGACCAATCAGCATCCACCACCTATGACAGGGAGGCAGTGGGACCAATCAACATCCACCACCTATGACAGGGA